AAACATGACATAATTTAGTAATCTCAGTGACCAAATGTGGCATTTATCCCATAAAAATAGTATACTGATTAGGGTTATTTTTAATGTTTCACGTAATGAGCAAATATAAAATGGCCGAATCTTCTCCTATAGTTGAGTGATACAAGATGTTGTATGGTACAAACTACAAACTAAATTCATACTTTTATGTCATGGTGGATTGGCTTCATGGATTAGTTCAAAATGATTGGTGGATTGGACAAAGATTCAAGTGAAATCTAAACATTGAACCAATATGTAAATTTAAAAATTGTAGATACGAAAATCTCATAAAATTTAGATGTCACTAACGAGTGGGCATACACTAATCTTATAAAATAATTGAACTACAATCATAACACAAAATACTCTATCACTACTTATCTAATAATAAGACCTTCGAAACCATTTTACAATCTTTAAAATATACGCGTAACATGGTGACTGGTGAGTATCTTAAACCACAAAATTATGCCTCTCAAATATTTGAAGTATTTTTCTTTTTATTTTTTGGTGGGAGCGACACCATTATGAAAAGCTTGAATAAAAGTCTAGTTTCGTAATATGCAAGGAAGAAAGCGCAGCTGGAGCATGGACTTTTTCCATTTGTTATAGGCTAACTGGCCGAACACCTTTATTAGGCCTACATATCCGCTCTAGATCTAGGTATATATCCATTCCATAAATTTTAGTACAAGTATGTCTATATATTTAAGGAAAGGAGAGAGCTTCTCAAGTGGAGTCTCCACTCCCAATATAAACAGTTTACTAAAGCACAAAACATAAATAGCATATACAAACCAAACTTCAAGATGTTATTTTTATTATTATTATTAGGTTATGTCTTCGGTGCACTCACTTTTTTGGGTGCATTCAATGCACTCGCTTCATATTTTTCATTATGAGCATGCGATTTATGTCAAAACAATGTTAATAATCACGTATGATACGATGAACAAGAAACTCCATGAATTAGCACAAAAATTATTCAAAATTTACATTAATTTAAAGAAATTATGATTTATAGATTTAGGGTTAGGGTTCATGATTTGTGGTTTAGGGCAAAAGTTCAAAATTGAAGGTTTAGGGCTTAGGGTAATGCATTGATTAGTTGTGATCTTATATTATACTATCATATTACACTAATCTTACCAATTAAAATAAAAAATTGATGTCTTAAGGCTACTTTTAGAGTTGGGTGCATTGAATGCACTCATTTTTGTGAGTGCACCGAAGTAGCCACCTTCTTCTTCTTCTTCTTATTATTATTATTATTATTATTATTATTATTATTATTATTATTATTATTATTATTATTATTATTATTATTATTATTATTATTATTATTATTATCTCTATAAAAGAACAAGTAAGAAGTTACTATTGAATAGTATTCCATCACAAGAGATGTTCTTTTTATAATTAAACAAAGCTTGGAGGAGTTATTTGCCATTAAATTTCTAATCAATTAATTTTATGCTATTAACATTCTAATCACTTGAACAATTGAATCCTAATTGAACCCAGCTCAATAAGTATTCGACATGTTTAAAGCGATTTGAACTCGGTTTTTATAAATTTGGGTCGACAACGAATTCTACACTCTTAACTCAATGGGTTAAACTCGGTATTAACGAATTTTGGGTCGATGAAGTTTTTTTTGTCTTTCCTTCGCTTATAAATCACGGTTAAGGTCGTTTTACTACTTTTTTTTTGCTTCACCTTGCAAATGATTTTTTACCGGGTTTTTTTTCGTTCTGTCATGCTTGCAAATGATTTTAGAGACTATAGGGGTTAGATGATTTTAATTGCGACCTTGAAACTCTCTAAAAGAACAAGTTTTGGGTTAATATTTGGTAGAGTCACATCAACTAGGATTATTTTATTGTTTACTATTCTTTCATTAATCAAATGCTTTTATTATTTCCTAGTAATTGAACCCAAATTCATATGTATTTAACATAATTCGACCCGGTTTTGGAATTGTCGAATTCTGGGTCGTGAACGAATTTTACCAATCAGTTAAATATTTTCTCTTATGACTATTGAACCCAAATTCATGTGTGTTCGACCTAATTTGATCCGGAGTCGATGTATACGAATTTTGGGTCACTTTGGGATTGACCCCCCCCCCCCCCTCTTATGCTAGTTGAACCCAAAATCTCACTTTATCGAGTTAAATCCAGTACTGACGCATTTTTGGTCGAGAACGGTTTTATCCTTGACACTTTTAGGGGTGTGAATGAATTTATCCACTTTTGTAATCATCGAATTAGGTGGAGAACGCACTTTACCTGCTTTTGTGATCGACGAATTGGGTCGCATGTGGATTCTATTAGAAATTCCCCCGCTATATTACACCGGTCAGAGAAATTCATGTGAGTTCAAACTAATTCATGTGTGTTCACAATTTTTGAGTCACTTTGTGATTGAACCCAAATTGAACCCGCTTCTTATGACAGTTGAACTCAAATTCATGTGTGTTCAAGCTAATTTGACCCAATACCGGTTTTGTCGAGTTTTGATCGAGACCAAATTTTACCCGCTTTTGTAATTAACAAGTTAACAAATTGAGTCGGGTGAGGATAGTTATTACAAAATCGGCCTGCTTTATCGAGTTGAATCCAGTGTTGACGAATTTTGGGTCGGGGACGAGTTTTACCGCTTTTGAAATCAACGAATTGGGTTGCATGTGGATTTTGTTAAAAGCTCACTCCGCTTTATCAAACCGGACATAGGAAGTTGAATCCAATTTTCACAAAATTTTGGCCGCTTTGGGTTTGTACCCAAACCGAACCCACGTCTTATGAAAACTTCATTGAACCCAAATTCATGTTTATTCAAGCTAATTCGACCTGATACAAGTGTTGCCGCATTTTGGGTTGGGGATAAATTTTATTCACTTTTGTAATTAATGAGTTGGGTCGAGTGTGGATTTTGTTACAAATTTGCTCCGCTATATCGAGTTGAATCCAGTGTTGATGCATTTTGGGTCGTGGACGATTTGTACAAGCTTTTGTGATCAAGAGATTGGGTCATGTGTGGATTTTGTTAGAAACTCACCCCGCTTTATCAAACTGATTAGAAAGAGTTCTAAAACACTGTTTCATAGAGTCACATCACAAGAAGTGATCTTTTTGTAGTTAACCAAAGAAAGGAGGAGTTTCTGTGTTATTAGGGGTAATTATGTGGACTCATTTGGGTTAGTTTAGATTTATTATTGCTATTATTATTATTATTATTATCTCTATAAAAGAACAAGTAAGAAGTTACTATTGCATAGTGTCCCATCACAAGGGCTGCTCTTTTTGTAATTAACCAAAGTTTGGAGGAGTTTTATGCCATTAAGGTTCTACCAATTAATTTTATGCTATTAACATTCTAATCAATTAACTTATGATGATTGAATCCTAATTGAACCCAACTCAATGGTATTCGACATGGTAAAGCGATTTGAACTCGGTTTTTACAAATTTGGGTCGACAACGAATTTTACACTCTTAAGTCAATGGGTTGAACCGGGTAAGCGAGTTTTACATTCTTAAATCAATAGAATACCGGGTACTAAGGAACATATTATTTCAGTATCTAGGTTCACTTTATAACAAGAAATCAATATATAACCCGCCGCAAAGCGGGTTTCTAACCTAGTATTGATTAAGAAGAAAGCATACAAGTGAAATCTATACATAAAACCCAATTCCATATATCCCATATTTGGATGATACGATTTAAAACTTTCCTTCAGAAGTTGCAATTAACATATCAGGTTCTCAAATCAATAATACCGTTCACATTAGGGGGCCGTAGGTGGTTAATCCGCGGATTGATATCGATCCACCCGCAAATAACCCGATCTGAACGGAGTGGGTGATTGATGTGGGTGGATTGTGGATTGGTAAATCTCTCACCCGCACTTATGTGGGTGGCTGGTGGGTGGATTGTGGGTCACCCATATGACCCGCATCCTATTTTTACATGAAAAATGTCGTTTCTTATAGTATCGAATTTTTATCATATTTTCGAACTGCACTACAGTCTAACCATATACTTCAAAATGTGGAGAATAAATAATAGTTTTGACTACTATTATTGGTCATTGTGTTGTGCAATATCCATTACATATTGGATATTGGTATGCAGATTATTGTTAATAACCATTAAATATTGGGATGAAAACTATTCATTATTAATTGTATCAAAATCACAAATTATTGATACAGTCTTACTAATTTGCTATGAACTTATTATAAATGTTAGTCAACTTTCTTAATTGCTAGTTGGAGAATTGCTTTTGTGGGTCGACCCGCAACCCAACCGCACCCATCCAACCCAACCCGCAGAAGTATGTGGGTGGATTGCGGATCACAATTATTTCAACCCACTAGTAAACGGGTGGGTCAATTTGAGACCAAAATCCACCCAACCCACCCGTTGCCCACCCCTAGTTCACATAACCTCTAAAAGAACGTACTTATAGCTAGCAAATTGTAATTTTCAAGTCGTAAGTCGTAACCATAAAAAAAAAATCATCAAATCGCATAGATATTTCACAACTGACAACACGATAACATTTTATTTTCAAAAATATCATCGCATCCATGATCCATCTAACTACAATGGAATGTCGACTAGTCCAAGTCCAACAACTAAAAAACACTTGTAAACACATTTTCGCAAAAACCTATGAACATTTTACCAAAACCCCACGTTTTTATCATCTTAGACAATAAAGTCGTGCATGTAAATGTAATGCAATAAGTTCGGAAAGGAGGCCCAGCTGGACCGTGGCCTTTCCCATTTGTCTTTCACACTAACTGGCCAAACTACTTTCGTCTCTGCCTAGCTAGGCCCATCTAGCTTTGATCTAGCCGCTGAGATCCATCGTTTTATCATCGTCTCTGTTGTGCTATATATATTCAAGGAGCTCGAGAGCGTGAATTTGCAGTAGTCTCTTCGTCACTTCCTTTGCCATAATTCAAATGGACAAGATACAGAACACAACTGTGCTGACCAACGGCATCAACATGCACGTTGCCTCCATCGGCGCCGGCCCACGCGCCATCCTATTCCTCCACGGCTTCCCGGAGCTCTGGTACACGTGGCGGCACCAGCTCCTGTCCCTCTCCTCCCTCGGCTACCGCTGCATCGCTCCGGACCTCCGGGGCTACGGCGACACCGACTGCCCAGCCCCGGCGGCCCAGTACACGTCGCTCCACATCGTGGGCGATCTGGTGGGCCTGCTGGACGGGCTGGGGATCCAGCGGGTGTTCTTGGTGGGCCACGACTGGGGAGCCATCATCGCCTGGCACTTCTGCCTGTTTAGGCCCGATAGGGTCAAAGCTCTGGTCAACACCAGCGTCCCCTTCACGCCTCGCCACCCCAAGGCGTCGCTGCTCGCCGGGATGAGGGCCGTCTTCGGCGACGACTTCTATATGTGCAGGTTCCAGGTCGGTCATAATTTTAACACATGCTCTTTCTATTAATTCCTAATTCACATTTGTTTTTTTCCATGATTTTTTAGGGGATTGCTATTCGTCGCCCTAAATTTTTGAATTTATCGCCCTAAACCATAATAAAGTTACACTCTTACCATTCTCATTAAATTTTGGTCCATTCCCTCCTTCCCCATTCCAACCGCCGACCACCATCAATCAATGAATTCGAACGATGGGAAGAGAGCCGGGCCGAGCAGTCCAGACACGGGAACTCAACCCATTTCTAGCATCGGTATCCTTAGCCCAGAAAAAGATGATTGGGAAGCTTATCAAATTCTTTTTTCGGGAGCGGCAGGCGACGAGCAGCGGGTTTGGGAAATGGGGTTTCTTTGCCTTCGCTTCCTTCTTTTCCCCTTCTTTTTTTATTTAATTTTAGTATATTTGTTTAAAGTGATTTGACGGAGACAGGAAAGGGAAATGGATTTGGGAAGAAGAATAAATTAACTTGGAAATTGACAGGGAGGTAGGCGGTGGGAAGATAGAACGAAGTTGGGTCGGGGAATGGGAGCTGCGGCGGGTTTGGGTTCTGGGAAATAGCGGCGGTGGCCGACAATTGGCTGGTGGGCGGGACGCAACAAGGAGGTAGGGATTAGGAAAATTTAAATCAGGGGTATAAATGTCAATTCAATATAATTTAGGGCGATAATTTTTAAAATTTAGGGCGACGAATAGCAATTCAGTTTTTTAGGAGTAAATATCACATTTGGTCACTGAGATTAATAAATCGTGTTATTTTAATCACTACAAAAAATTCATATCAATTTTGGTCACTCAAATGACTAAAACATGTCACATTTAGTCACTCTCCCGTTAGCCTCCGTCCAATTCCAGTCACTCGAAAAAAAATTATATGTATGTCATTCGAATTACTTAAACATGTCGCATTTAGTCACACTCTCCGTTAGCCTCGTCCAACTCTGTTAATAATATTAATTTTGGTCACTCAAATTACCGAAACATGTCACATTTAGTCACTTTCCCGTTAGTTTCCGTCCAACTCCATTACCAAAATTAATATTATTTTTTCTAGTGATTAAACATGATATGATTTAAAAATATCAGTGACCAAATTTGAAATTTACCAAGGAGATCTCTTTAGTTTTTTTTTCTCTTTTTGCCATATATCTTTAGTTACCTTCTAAGTTTTATCCATACATCTCATTTGGTCCTATCGCTTTTATTAATAATTATTATTTTGTACTGTGTGATGTGCCCAGTCATAATCAACTCCATGAATTATTAACAAAAATGGTTTAGCATGTCGACAAATATCTAGCTTTTAAACCGTGTGATGGTGAAATATCTAGTTAGGTGAGCCATAGCAATCGGGGCGGAGAATTGGGTTCGGGTTATTAAAGCCAAATTTATGATTATGTAATGACTAATATGTTCTGATTTTCGATCAAGATGAAATAAAATTTGATGGTGATGGGTTTAATGTTGGGTGGGATTTTACCCGTTTTTGAAATGGGTGCGTGTGGGTATTTTTTTTTGACCGTGTGGGTTTTTTCAAAATACACCTCGATGTCACTTTATATGTACCCAAAATAAAATTGAATGAATTTGTTGTGTATCTTACTTTAATAATATGGATAAATTAGAGATGTTCGTCTTCATGCCAATAAAATTGTAATAATATAAATAGTTTATTGATGTTATTAGTCTCAATTAAGATATATTTGTATAAAAAAATTCAATAATATTACGACGACGTAAGTATTTGGAGAAACTATTTGCAGTTATGTCTATGAAGCTATGAGTATCCATGGTGCCAGATGGGTTGGGTAGGATTTTTCTTCTAAAATTCGGTTTGTATTTTATCGAATAATTTTACAGGTGCACTGTGTTGAGTTTGAATTTAAAAAAATCCAACCAACCCGGCCAATTGACTTTGGTCTTTAGAATTGATAAAAACTCGGGTATTAAGTATTAACTGATTTTATAGTAAATGAATGTGTAAAAATAGGCGAGATTTGTGATCCAGATATGGGGTCCAGATCGGGCCAGTAACTGATGTGTTAGTAACCCCCTTCCCCTATCCCCACGTGTTAGTCATTTTTTTATTTAAATTAAATGCGAAAGGGCAGTACGGTAAAATCGCACTTACTCCTATTTATTGCTGACGCTGACTTTGGACCGGACCACATCAGCGCCTCCTTCTCTCTCCTCGCAAAACATTTAATTTTTCTTCCCTTAATCTTTAACGGACGATTTCTCACTCGTTTTAAGTCGATTTTTTTTTTTTTTTGCACAGTTAGATCAGATTAATTGTGCTCTTCAAAATTATATCCACTTTGATATTTTTTTTTACACAAAACAATTTGTCAGTTATTATCAATCTATACCATATGGTATTGACTGGTATTAAATAAGAGCATACCATATGGTATGAAAATTTTTGCCACATGAATATATATTTCGTTACCACCCAATACCATATGATATAGTGTGGTAATATCAATATATATTTCATTACCACCCAATACCATATGGTATAGTGTGGTAATATCAATATATATTTCGTTACCACCCAATACCATATAGTATAGTGTGGTAATATCAATATATAATTCGTTACAAGCCAATATCATATGGTATAGTGTGGTAATATCAATATATATTTCGTTACCACCCAATACCATATGGTATAGTGTGATAATATCAATATATATTTCGTTACCACCCAATACAATATGGTATAGTGTGGTAATATCAATATATATTTTGTTACCACCCAATACCATATGGTATAGTGTGGTGATATCAATATATATTTCGTTATCACCTAATACCATATGGTATAGAGTGGTAATACCAATATATATTTCGTTACCACACAATACCATATGGTATAGTGTGATAATACCAATAATATTACCTAAAAGAAAAAACAAACAAAAGGAGGGAGAGAAAAAAAAAACTTGTCTTCTGTCTCATCTCATTTCATCCGCAACCAAGAACACCAAACACCAAAAAAAGGAGAAAGATCGGAATTAAAGCCATCGAGTTGATGAAGAGAAGAAACACAATAAAAGATGGTGACTTCAATTTTTATTCGTCGATTGCTAGAGAGAAAAAAATGAAGAAGGAAGAGAGCAGATCTATATTTGAAAAGGAGATTGTGAGAGAAAAAGTTTGAGAGAAAAAATAGAGAAAGAGAAAGGATCTTGAAAGAGATTGAGAAAAAGGAAGAGAGAAGAATGAAAGTAGAGTTGCAGAGAAAAGATCATTGTCTCTCTTTCATTGAAAAACCCGTCATTGAAATGCGAAATAAATAAATTAAAAAATTAAAAATATAAAAACGGACAAAAATGCCCCTTCCCGCCCCCGCGTCCTGCCCAGCCACAAGATTGCTCCATCCCCCAGATCTACAGCTCCCGACCTCCTGTGTGGTTACTGATAGGTCAGTAACCATTGGTTACTGATCCTATTCCAAGCCCGAGATATGCCATTGTCGAAGCTAGAATTCTTTTCGTTAATGTAATTGCGGGCTTCATAATAGTGAAGTTTCGGAAATCTCAAGTCAGAACAAACAAACAAATTATTTTTCCAATTCCACCGACTGAAAAAAAAATCTTGAAGCATGAATATTCAAGCCATCAAACACTATACCCAAAAAAGACAAAAACGAAGGACCCTCGATCTACTTTCTTTCTTTCTCCCTTCGATTTCCTCCTAGTAGTATTATTTCATTTTCATGTCGCTCGTATTGAAGGATCTGGTGGGCCGCAGATATAACACACTAAAAAGTCAATGACCGCCTTTTTAATTAACAGGAAGTTGGGGAGGCGGAAGCTGACTTCGGGGCGGTGGAAACAGGGAAGCTACTGGCCAAGATACTGACCTCCAGAAACCCGGACCCGCCGTGCTTGCCCAAGCACGTCGGTTTCAGAGGCATCCCCGACCTTCCGGCCCTGCCCTCGTGGCTCACCCAACAGGACATCGACTACTTCGCCTCCAAATTCGACCGCACCGGATTCACCGGTGCGCTCAACTACTACCGAGCCATCGACCTGTACGTTAACCCACCACCCATTTTTTCCTTCTTCGTCCATGCTTTTCCTTTTGCGTGTGTCTCTTTTAGTTTTGCTTGAGCGGTTTGGTTTTTGTGCAGATCGTGGGAGGTGATGGGGCCGTGGACAGGGGCGAAAGTGACCGTGCCGACGAAGTTCATAGTGGGAGAGCTGGATATTACACTCAAGTTCCCAAGGATGAAGGACTACGTTGTTGGTGGCGGCATGAAAGCCGACGTTCCTCTGCTGGAAGAGGTGGTTGTGCTCGAGGGCGTGGCTCACTTCCTCCACGAGGAGAGCCCTCAACAAGTCACCGACCATATTCACGACTTCTTCAAGGACAAGTAGTAGTATTCTTGAAGAATGATGATCGATGCTTGTATTATTATTTATTTCTTATTTATTTAATTTCGGTCGGGGGTTGCTTGGGGACTGGGGTATTTCTATCGTCTCATGCCCTATAAAAGGGTAATTATGTAGTGCCGGTGCAGTCTCTATACTACCGGCTATAGCCGGTTTACGACTTTTCACGTTGCTGGGCTGTGGAAACAAGCAAAAGCATTTTCAAAATTTTTGTAATTTAAACTATTGTTTAATACTTTACCCAACGGTTCATGTAATATTTTGTTTTCATATTTTGTACTTTTGTTTCATTATTTTTAATTAATATGGAACCCCGTAGAAAAACAATAAATTTGCAGATTTTGATTGGAAATCTCAAAACTAAATAGGACTAATTTCACTCGGAAGTCCAAACTATGCAAAAAGTGTTATTTGTGTCTTAAACTATTCAATATGAAAAATCTGATACAAAACATATGTGTTTTGTGACATTAGTTTGTGTCCCGAACTATTTGATATGACAAATCTGGGACAAACCAACATAGATGCTGACTAGATTTTCTGTTAAATATACTAACCGTCAACGCCGATTAACACTAACAGAAATTTGGATAACATGACATGGTCTCCACTCCCAATATAAACAGTTTGGGTATGCCTATAGTGACATGCATGTCCATGCTCTTTACGTTTTTGTCTCTCGGTTTTTTGCTTTTCTCCGGCCGTTGTGGCTTTCCAGATCTAGGATTTTCCAGTATCAAGGCTTGCTCTTTTGGGGATCGGAGATTAACGGGAGAGTGGCTAAATGTGACCTGTTTCAGCAATTCGAGTGACCAAAATTGATATTAATTTTTTCTAGTGACTAAACATGACATAATTTAGTAATCTCAATGACCAAATGTGGCATTTACACCATAAAAATAGTATACTGATTAGGGTTATTTTTAATGTTTCACGTAATGAGCAAATATAAAATGGTCGAATCTTCTCCTATAGTTGAGTGATACAACATGTTGTATGGTACAAACTACAAACTAAATCCATACTTTTATGTTATGGTGGATTGGCTTCATGGATTAATTCAAAATGATTGGTGCATTGGACATAGATTCAAGTGAAATCTAAACATTGGACCAATATGTAAATTTAAAAATTGTAGATACGAAAATCTCATAAAATTTAGATACCAAGACATAATTGTTCAATGCTTTTATATTAAAATTAAATTTGGAGTATCAAAATTTAAAATATTACATAGTAACTAATTTATAATTTTTTATGCAACCGTAATTGCACTTCATGAAACAATGGCAATAAAAAGTAGGGTAATGTCTATTTTTTATCCAAACCTTTTTCAGATTCTTTTATATTATCTAAATCTATTAAAATACTAACAATTAGCCAAATGTTAACTTACAGTTAGCAATTTTGTTAGTAATATTGTCTTGGCAACATGATATTGACTTGAAAGACACACATAAAGGTCAATATTCCAAAATTTTAGTATTTTAACTAAGAAAATAGTTACAAAATTATTAACGATAATGTAAAAAGGGCTAATATTTTGATGCATCACAAAAGATTTGGCTTATTAATAGCATTTAAGTAGGTTTGGATAAAAAATAGACATTACCCTAAAAAGTATAAAGAAAACAAAGTGAAGAGAAGAAACGACAACTGCCAATAAAAAAAAAAGAGATTAAAGACTAAAGAGAACTGGCAATCACCTGTTACTTATGGACGGCACGAATACCGTCACGGTATAGTAGAATTCCCGCTATAAAATGGTGAAAGCGAATAAAAAGGAGGTCAGTTAAAGGACGACCCCTACCCTCCATTAACAATAAAACAATCTAGCAGTATGTACTTGTGTTAGAGAAAAAAGACCTCACATGCTTAAAATAACGCCGTGATGCAGTAGGCAAAGCTAATCGAGTGCGAAATTGTGGCTGACGATCGGCGAAGAAAATGGATGGAATTTTAGGATGTTAGTGGTGTTTTACGAGTTGCTGGAAAGTACCATCTAGAGAAGCACAGCGATGCGGTCTAGAGAGATCTGATTTCAGATCTAGCTTGTCTTCTACTCTCCTTTTCAAAATCTACCTCCTTGTTCTCACCTTGCAGATCTTGGTGGTTCGGAGTTGCAGTCCTTGGCGACGGATGCGGTCTAGAGAGCTTGAAGACAGAAGATCTTCTCCCCTCTGCTTCCTCCTTTGTCAGACCGTTCGAGTTTGTTTGGCTTCCCCTGGGGTTCATGCGGCGGGAGGCCAACGTTCGAGCGGCTTGGGTGGGTTTGGTTGAAAATATTTTCTTCATCGTCCTGCCATTCGGGTAGTGGATCTTTTTCCTCTGCTTCCTCTATCTCCGAAGTGGAGGCGTTGATTAGTTCCGAGCGGCAGCGGCGGTTTCGATGTCGACGGCGTGGTTCTAGATGGGAGCACTGACTGCTAGGGTTGGGGTTAGTAGATTATGTTTTGGTCCTGGATTTTGGGCCCTATTGGGTTACGGGTTTTGGTGGGCCTTGTTTTTTTTCTGATTTTCAACTCATGTAGTTCACTATTTGTATTTTTTCCTTTGGGCTTGCCCATTGCATTCTAAATGAACCACACTTAAAAAAAAAAAAAAAAGAGAGAATCATAGGGATGTTGAAAATTCAGTGCGGTCTTTTTCATGGAACTCGCCCCAAAAACTTTTTAAAGCAACATTTGACGGACATTAATGATGAGATGGTAGGGATGGCAAACCCGCCCCGCCGGATTTTACCCGACCTGACCCGTGATGAGGTTGGTGCCTGGTATTACCCGACCAGTAGTAGCATGGGGCGGGGGCATGGGTATCTACTTCCGACCTGCCTTGCCCCGCCCCGACTCGTTCTTGGGCCATTATGTCTCAATTTCTTACAGTATATATTTAATATTCATACTTCTCATATTTTGATTGTTCTTCAACTAATTAGACTCGATCTTTCAACTAGTTAGACTCATTTACTCATTCTATTATCACTATTTTCATTCATAAAGTGTTTCCCCCCTTCGTTTTATCAAGAAAGTGAATTTCGCATGTATTTTTTTCAAATAACACGTAAGAGTTGGTCAACCTGCCCCGGTGCGGACTCGCACGGGTATTACCCGCCCCGCAGTAGCGTGGGGGGAGGCATGGTTCAAGATAGGGTGCATAACTTTAGGGTGCTTAACATGAGTAACCAAATCTGGACCCTTCATTTAAGTGGCTGCAGATCTAAAGGTTGTAAATTAAAGACATTTTATTTTTCTTAATAGGATCATAGCTTCTTCATTCTAACTCGGATTTCAAATTTTTTTGCACAGATAAAACGAGTTCGTTGTGCTCTACAAAATAAGATCCATTTTCAATATTTTCCGAGAATTTTTTTTTATGCCTCTCGTTACCAACTCCATGCATATGGTATCTTCTTCATTTTTAGTCATTCTCGGAAATTTTTGCACAAAAAAACGATTTAATCATGATCTATTGAATTTCAAACAATTTTGGGTGAAATTTTTTTCGTACCTCTCGTTACCAACTCCATATAATATTATACCACCCTGGTATGGGGTGGTATTTTTCATACCATATGGTATGCTCTTATTTAATACCAGTCAATACCATATGATATAGACTGGTAATAATTGGCCCAAAGTTTTTCGTTCTAAAATATATCAAAGTGGATATCATTTTAAAGAGCACAATTAATCTGATCTAACTGTGCATAAAAATTTAAATTCCTACTTAAAACGAGTGAGAAATAGTCCGTTAAAGATTAAGCTGGAGAAAATTAAAGGCTTTCCAGAAGAGAGAAAGTGCGCTGATGTGACGGATTCTGATTGGTTTTTGCATGGGTTATTGACCAAAAGGTAATACACCTGATCCGCTCTCGCAGGGCATGGGTATTGAGTTACCCTCTCCCATCCGCTCCATTGCCATCATGGTGGTTACGTAGAGTTGAACCAATTAAACACAATCAAGCAAGTTCCATGAAAGCATGGGCGGGGCTGTACATGGGCGTTGGGTCGTGCTTGGGCCGGCACGGCACATGCACACTTTGGGCCCATTTATTTCGTGTCGTGCTTGGCACGGCCCGTCAGTTTTCATGTCGTGCCATGCAAACCCATTTGTTAACTTTGTTAGGCCCGGCCCAGTCCCGAGCACGGTTCGAATCGTGTCGTGTCTATTCGTGCTCGTGCCATGCTCGTATTCGTATTTAATGAAAATGAAGAAAACAAAAGAGAGAATAAAAAGAATGTGAAAATTGGACGGAGAAAGATAGTATTAACCGATAATGTTTGAGAAAAGTAACAAGTAAGGGGGAAAAGAAAATTGGAAGTATAACGAGTGTGATTTGGCTTTGTTTAATTCTTCGTCCATTTTTACTTATGGTAGTAATTACGTATATATCTTTATGACACTTCTAACAGCAACAAATAATTCTTTTTCTGCTTGTATTTTGTAATATTTCAACATATAATTCTTTTTATATTTATTTTCTATCAAATAAATATTATTTTCATGTCATGTCTGTTCTTATACTCAATAAAGTCTCGAAAATATTAGGCCCGACACGGCCCACTTATATACCGTGACGTTCCAGTGCTCGTGCCCGTGCCCATGACGTGCCCGTGCCCGTGCTCGTGTCGTGCTCTAACCGTGCCATGCTAGCCCGTGGGCGGTACGGCCTGGTGCCTACGTACATATGAGGCCAATGGGGAGCGGATCGGGTCAGTAACCCTCCCATCAGTCACCATCAGTAACCCCTTCCCATGGCCCCCACGTGTCAGTCTTTTCTTTTTATTTAAATTAAATATGGAGGGGCATTAGGGTAAATTGCCTACACCCCCCATTTAATGCTGACGCTAACTATTGACCAGACGCGGACCCTACTCCACGTCCCATGCGTGTTCCCCTCTCTCTGTTTTATTATTAAAAGAAAATTTATATTATTTCTTCTCTTTCTCATCTACAAGTAAAAGAGGAAGAGAAATGCATCAGTT